TCTGCTGCTGTGACCTGAAGGGCTGTTGCTGATTATTACTATTATTCAGGGACGTGCAGTGAGGTTTGTGATTGGGGAGGCACTGACTTTAAAAGTCAGATTTGCTATCATTATTCTAATAAAATAGCATTAAATCATCAATGCAAAAACGTCCACAAACATTATATACTGTAAAGCAGTGTCTCCCAAAGTGGGGTCCGCGGCCCCCTGGTGGGCCGCGTGGGTACTGCAGGGGGGCCGCGGGAGGTCATAAAAAATATATATATATATATATAATTATTTAATGTTACATTTATAATGTTTTGTTTGTAATATTAAAATATTTGTGTTCATTATTTGACTTGAATAAGCCACTGTAATCATTTGTGTATTACAATGTTTGTAGCAGAGGCTATTTCCCCAAAATAAAATAACCAGAAGAGCCTATTCTTAATGTTGTCTTCTTGGTTATTATTTTGGGGGGCCACGCAGACCCGTCAGATTTTTAAGGGGGCCTCGGTGTTACTGAGTTTGGGAATGGCTGCTGTAAAGATAAGAGAAACAGCATATGATTAAAAATCCCACAACACATCTAGATGCTGGCTCTCCGCTCCGCATAAAACCAAGTCTTTGCGAAGCACAGGTGCGAGAGACGGGAGGAGGGAGGGAGACGCAAAGAGCGAGAGAGAGAGAGAGAGAGAGACGCAAAGAGCGAGAGAGAGAGAGAGAGAGAGACGCAAAGAGCGAGAGCAAAAGAAAAAGCACCGACAGGACTGATTGTTGGGTAGAAAAATATTTACAGTCTGTTAGCAACTAGGGTCTGAACTTTATGCTCACTATCACCCCTAGCGGTGAGGTACAGACACTGCCTGCCTCACGCCAAGCTTTTTCCTTGTGTATTCTTCTCCAATCAAAAGACTTCAAATAAATATAGCTAGTACACACATACGTGCAATACATTACTAAACACTAGGACAAATTTAACAAATGTTTTCAAAGCTTGATGATGAAACAAACAGCGATATATCAACAGCATGAGCTGAGTGCACTCGGACAGACCACTGTGAGGGAGCGAGTGATCTGGGGTGAGGCACACAGGAGCGCTGGCTCACCTCGTCTCTCTGAATAGGAAAAATAGGATTTCAGCGATTTTGACTTTTAAAATGATCAAAACTGGTCGGAACCATGCCGAAAATACATTAAAAGCATAGGACAGTGGAAAACAATTATGTATTTCAACTAAAATAATAATTATTTTTTCAATGATGGCAGGTGAGGCTCTCCCCCTGACTGCATGTCACTGCTATTATTATATTTTCAGAATGATCAATTTTATTTTTTATTTTTGCTGCTACTGGACATCTGAATTTCTCCTACGGGGATCAATAAAGTATCTATTTATCTAACTATCTATCTAACAGATAAAGTAGGAAGGAGGAGAGGATAGTGCTCAAGTTGCCATACTTCTCCCAGCAAACTGACTCCCTATGCAGCTTGACTAACAGTCTAGTCTGAGTCTTACCTTCCTAGCCATATGTTAAACTAAAGAGGACTGTTTTAGCCTAACCTGGAACGTAGGGTTGAAGATGCAGCGGACCGGGTCCAACATACGCAGACTCCAAGACCGGACGAAACCTGTTGGAACGGAGCTTCTCTGTGAAGGATAGGGAGCTACTGGACAAACTGGTGAAGAGAGATTTCCTAACAAGGCATTTTCACATGGGCATGACTCTGCATGGCTCTGCATTTCTACTCTCAAAGTGAGTGATGTTGAGTGGTGATGAGGCAAAAAATGCAGCGCATCATCTCCAATGACAATCATCCACTGCATGAGACTGTGATTGACCAGAGAAGTGTGCAGAAAGCAGTTTGTTCTGTCAGCGGCTGTATACTGCAGGCTCAAGGGGATGTTTCACATCTAAAGTTACACGTTCCTTTAAAGTGTTTTTTCATTTTTATAATTATTGTTGTTTTATCTCATTTTCTAACAATTTGTGAAGTGTGTGTGTGCTTTTTGGATGACGGAATCAATTGAACTTTCATTACTATGAAATTGAATCAATAAAAAGATGCTGCACTAAAGGAGAAGAAAGTGATCCAGAAACAGGCACATGCTTACATTTTACCTTAATGTAAGCATGTGTTCCAGGCGGGACTAAGGCAATGCAACCGATTTATTAAGCTCAATATAACAATTTCACATGAACTATATGAGGATATATGAAAATTGGGAAGGTTCACTGCCCTGCAGATTTCCCTTTGGAGAGACCCATAAGGAAAAATGCAGTCAGAGTTATTGGATTTAAGCATGTTTATTAGATTAAGCATGTTTGGCGCCCTAGGCCCGGGAGAGATGCTGTTGAGCGCGGCGCTTGCTCGCTCGCATAATCCCCCCCGGGGCCTAGGCACTGGTGGCGGCAGAGGCAGTAGGCAAGCATGCTTCGATGAGAAAAGGAGGAGGTGGGGCGGCGGAGGCTTGCAGACTTCAGAAGGCCGGGAAAGTGGGCGTCTCCGGCTTTTAACTTGCTGTCCTGGTGGTTATTGGTTGACTGGATGTGGGCGTTGCTCGTAAGATGAGCCGAGGATGAGCAGCCTGTAGATCTGGGCAAGCAGCAGCCGGGTCTACCACAGTGAACTTTCGCGAAAGCTCCATTTGTGTCTGTCCTAATGACATCTGTAGAGCAGTATTAAATGTTCTGAGTGTAAAAGGTTTATTATCAACACTGTTGTTGGGTTGTTGGCATCACTGACTATCTAAATCAATTATATGGTGACATTTTGTTACTTTCTGGAGAACAGACTTACAGAAGACTGTTGTAGTCTTATTCCTGTGTTACTAAGATGAATGGTTCAAACTGTTGTTAATTAAACTGCCTATTATTCCACGATCAAGGATGTGAATATGTGATTTGTTTTGTGTGCTTTTGTTGTACCATTCTTGTGATATGAAAAGTCTGATTGTATTGCTTTTGGGGGGCGGGGGTGCTTGTAAGCTTCTTGCTTTAGCCCACTCCTTTAAATACTGCTCTTACAAATAAATATTCTTGTTTTATCTGTATTATTTCTTTTCCTATAAAATAAGTGTGGAGATCTGGACAGTACGATTTTTGCCGATTGGCAGATTTAGTCCAATTCACCTCTTAACACCCACCCGATTTTTATTTTTATAATGTTCTGCTGGCAATAGCAGATGTATTTTGAACACCAAACCCCACAAGCGGTATGGCATTTTTAAGCTTATTTTCTTATCTACGTTTATATACAAGTGTAAACTACATCAGACTTTGCATTCAAAAGACAAAACAATATGGGCACAAAATAAATTACTTCTGAATAAGTTTTTTACCTTTGGGCTTGTGATGCATAAATTAATCAGATCTCCCAGCTTCCTATACTGTAGCTCTTTCACTCTGTAAATGTCCATAGAAAAATAATATCCCCTGTATTTTCCAAAGTATAATCCATTCTGGAGAAATAATCCAAAAATGTGCATTTATCTTTAGCGAAAGAATTGTTCTGAAAGAACACAGAGGCATCGCTCAGGCATCGCGCTGAGCACTACGGGTAGGAGAATGGTCCAAGATGCCGACAGCATTTCTCATGCCCGAGCAGTTTAATGTGGAGTCCACTCTTTATATGTCTAGGTGTTCGAACTGATCGAGGGGGATGAAGGCATCCCATTGGTTTTTTTGTCTATTCCGGATGCCTCCTGAACGCCTCCCTAAGGTGTTTCGGGCACGTCCCACCGGGAGGAGACCCCAGGGAAGACCCAGGACACGCTGGAGGATAGGCCCGTCCCAATTCTCGCCCTTGCCCTTAAAAAGCACTCTTGCCCTAGATTTTGTGCGTGCCTGCGGGGGTCATAGGATGTCCCAACTTAGGGAGAAGAGGCGCCCTCAGGGTGCCCTCACACCCTTAAAAACCACCCAGCTCCGGAGTCTCTCGGCTGGCCTGGGAATGCCTTGGGGTCCCCCCGGATGAGCTGGAGGAAGTATGTGTGGATAGGGAAGTCATGGGCGTCTCTGCTTAGACTGGTTACCCGGCAACGGATGAAGCGGAAGAAAATGGATGGATGGATGGGTCTGCTCCAAAATCCATCCATCCATTTTCTACCCTTTAATCCATTTCTGGGTCAGGGTGGTGGCAGTCAGAGATGCCACCCAAGTCTCATAGCACCAGCCCCTCACTGACCCTCTGCAGGTGGTGAGTCCACAGGAGGACGGCTGCTCTCTGAGTGTGAGCATAGCCTTGATCTTTCAGTGGGGGCTTTTGGGCAAAGTGGGGTTAAGTGTCTTGCCCAAGGACACAACGACAGCAGTCATCAGTGGGAGTCGGTGGAGAAGGTGCAGAGGTGGGAATTGAACCCACAACCTTCTGGGCTTAAGGCCAATGCTCTACCAACTGAGCTACTGTCGCCCCCTCTGCTCCAAAATATTTATGATTTATTATGTGAGGTTACAGGTATCTGGACATGTCCATTCCTATTAGAAAACATATGATTCCTTGACTACTTTTGGGGTTTAGAGACGTTTCCCTACCATAATTTAAAAATTGCCTCTGGACAAATCATTGACTGAATCTTAAATCTCATAATTTTGCTACTACGACTTTATTCTAATAGTATTTCAACTTTAAAATAAAACATAGCTACTGGCACAAAATAAATCGGGTGACCCTTATGCTAAGACATAAAGTAAGGTTCTATTGAATTAAATATTTCTTTAACTCGTTTAATTTGATGTAGCCAACAATCGAATGTGAATACAGCTGCACCTCGTAGCTGAGAAAAAAACAATATATTTTTTCAAATGTAATCCCTTTAAAATAATGAAAAAATGCCTTGATTTACGGTGATCATATGCTGGTGATCATGTGCTGCAGATCTTTCAGCGCGTTACCAAACAAAACAACTACATGTCCCAGAAGCCCCTTCGCTTCGCTGTTTCCCATAATCCTTTTAGCTTTCGAGATCAAGAAGGTCGCCCGAGCTGCACAGTGCAGAGGACAAACCACACAGAAACATGCTGGGCCAAGCTGTGAGGAGGTTCACTACCTCTGCTGTACGGTCTTCACATTATTCCGAAGGACCCGGAAAGGTGAGTTATATTATTATAAAGGTCTGGTTTTCCTTCTGTTTACTATGAGGCCTAGCGTTAGCTGGTCCCGTAGCTAACGGCTAACAGCTAACAGCTAACCAGAGGAGGTCACGGCTTCAGCTTTACTGAGTCTTTTGGCAAGGGAAGAACGTGTACTTAATTCAATGTGTTGGTTAAACATGTTTTTATTCATTATTTACCTTAAGGTGTTATACTTTTACACGATTCGTTGCTGTGATGTTAGCTATAGTGTGTGCTGTAACCTATAAGCTAAGCTAACTTGGCGTCACCAGAGTTAAACAAATATATCATTACGGCTTAAACTAAAGCCAAACTTCCCTAGTCCCAACTAAGGTCTATACAACATGATTATTGTTACATTTTTATAATGGCTTTAAATCTAGTACCTCCAATTAACAGTTAAATGTTCTGAATTCTACATTCTGACCCATTTGTTTTTGGTTTAGCCTCACGTTGGCCTCATATTATCCCTATCTGGCTTTTGAAAGGAAGTGAATTTGACTTTACATTCCCTGAATAAACTAGGCCTTAACTATTTTGACGATGGTTTAGGCCATATGTAAGGCATACCCAGAATAATCCTAACCTTGGACATACAAGGTTAATTATGATGAATCTCATAATGACATAGTGCCTTAATTTGAAGTGATTCCTAAATGTTGGCAAATTAATATGCCGCTGAAAATGTACATAAGATATTATTTATTATTGAAAAGTCGATTCTGTATGTTTGCAGAATTTGCCATTTTCTGTGGACAACAAGTGGCGCCTGCTGGCCATGATGACCGTGTTCTTTGGCAGTGGATTTGCATTCCCATTCATTGTTGTCAGACATCAAATCTTGAAGAAGTAAAGATGTTCAACATATCACCCCACTGGTAATTATTCTTTCTCTGAATGTCATACTGATTACAGGTTAGACCGTGCATGTGTTTTATTTTAATAATGTAGCAGAGTTAGACTTGACGAAATTCCAAAGTGTCATTTATTCGTTGTTTGCGCCAGCGTTGCCTTCTAAAATGCCAGCTTATCAGTCTCCTTCTTGTCTCCCTCTCTGCAGGTGGTCTGCTGGAACATATTCATCAAAGTTTTGTCCTTGCAAATTAAATAAAACCTGTTTAATTTTATTGTAAATAAATTACATCGAAATGAGAATCCTTATTTTCTTTCACTAAACATTCTGAATTTTTCTGGGTAATATTTCCAACTATGTTTTTGAAAGCGGGTATATTCTTATTAAACTTATGAAAGTAAGAAATACCAGACGAGTACATTGTAAATTATGAGCCTTCTGAATGGAAAAGATGGCCTTGCATGTTTTTAACTGGTCTATTCAAACTTCAGGTTCAACTGAATGCAGTTAAACATCTAAAACGGATTGCAATGAGTAAATTCTCTTTATAGGTACCATAATGTTATTAAAGTATTGAAAACCAATGGAGCTTGAAGAATCCAGTCACCTTCAGGTTTTCTGATTAGTATTTCATTGTTTCTTAATAAATGTTAGCACTCAAGCCGGCACTTCTGAATAACTTAATTCATTTCAACTACAGCCTTCAGCTACTGGCCCTAATTATCTGAGGACAAAGGATTAGAAGGCTGTGTGTGCTCACTTGGGAAGAGCAGAAAGTGTAAGAGTGAAGGGGCTTCTATTCATTATTGGTTTGAGCCGTAAGACACTTTTAAATGGCAGCTATGGTGGATTTTCAATTTGCTGTGCTTTAAAATGTAGTAAAGAACTTGACTTGCAGCAAAGTTTTTATTTATTTTTTCTTCCATGCTTTGAAAAAGAAAATTCAAGCTTTGGTTGTATGTATATATTTTCCAACCAAATGTTTGTCAGATTTTCAGCCAAAGCTGCTCAAGCCAAAGTTACTGAATTTATAATATGAATATAAATGATTTGTTGGACTATTTCTTGATTTTAATGAGGTGTCGTTGGCATAGAACACAAATTAAACCTCAAATCTGTATTTTTAATTTGTATTGTCAATGTGAGATTGATTGGCAGGTCAGAAAGTGTGTTTTTGATACTGTAGATGGTGTGCAAATTTCTCTGCACAGACTAACAAGTCAACTAACCTGAGGCCTTTTAGTAGTTTGTTTTAGTTGACAGGCAATTTTAGCATTGCATTCAAGATCGTTATTTGGTTGTAAACAGTGCTGTTAGGTTAGCCTTACCATGCTGTTGTGTGCACTCATCATTTTGAACAGTGCAACATTAGCTTAATAAATTAACATGTGATATTTAGTCTTTGCCAGGCTATTGTTAAGCAGGAACTGCACTTAATAAGCAGCATTATCACATAAAAGTCCTATGATTTCGTGAACTCAAGTCATGGCACAATGTGGCCTTTTGAGGTCCAATTAGAGAAAATGGCTCAGGTCTGGATATGAACCAAGCTCCAGCGGAATGCAGACGACATGAAAAGTGCAAGAGGGTGTGCTGGCATGGTGCACTGGGTCTCTGCACACACAATGGCTTACAAACACTGGTGATGGCCGCCCCCTTTCTTTGAACACTGAGGCAGAAGAAAGCAAGTTCTGGAGGATTACTGCTGCTATGCCAAGACTGGCAGCAGCAGTTTGTCATGGTGAGTTTATTATGCACGTGTTGAAAATGCATGCGTATTGATGAACGCTTCTATGTATCACTGTCTCTTGGTGACTCGTGCGCTGCAGCTGTCAATCATCTTGATTCCACAAAAACCCTCATGTTATGCTAATTCTGCTTACTGACTACAATCAGGTTAAGAAAGGTATGATGACAACATTGTTTCTTTAATTCAGTTTAAATCTGCCTTAATAAATTGTGAGGCAAAAGACATTGATAGTTTCAGAATTGAAATCTCCTACAAAGGGGGACATTTTTGCTGCTGCACATACAGTAGATATAAATATTTTAAGAATATAATATACATTTGTATGCTTAGAAATATTAGCTGAAAATAAATACTGTGACATTATTACAGCATCAGAAATACCTGCAGAATCCTCTCCTTCCCGCAGAGGGTGGATCAGACGGGGCGTCATGGTCCAGCACAGATGTTCGTGCAGCCAGCTCCCTACTGTCAACAAGCATCACGTCAATAAATGTAATTCTAAACACAGATTTGGTAAACTATAAGAAGTATAATCTTTTGCAGAGTGTATGGATTACATATGGGGCTATTTAATAATAAACTCATTTGCATTTCAGATGAAGAGCAATGCAATATTTATTCTGCCATAACTCCCCAATGGAGCACATGAATCCTTAAAACCAGAGCCACGTCATTCAATAGGCCTATAATTCAGAATTTTGAAAAGTACAGCAAATGATTGAACTAATGAAAAACCCAAATTGATATAATCTCCATGAATATATTTCAACAGCTCAATCGATCTTTCTGACACTCACAAAACTAGTGATGGGTTTACCGTTACAGCAGGTGGCAGTAATATATCTCATCAAAATATGACAGCGCACCGTCAGTCGATAGTTTCAAGGGCAAGCTGAACTCCTGATGCTTTTCAATGCCGCCCATCCACTCCGCTGCGCTTCCACTGTTTACCACCCTCCACCACAAAGATGCTGACTGCAGGAGAAGTAAGAAACTGTCAGTGCACAAGATGAAGTGAGCACGCACCTCCTACTACCTCAGCCAGAAACTCCACACAATTAGTCCTGCAAAACCTCTGGGGATGGCTGCCTCCTGGATGAATGCTGCAGGACAACATGCAGGAGAATATGGATCATGAAAGATAGAAGAAAAAAAACATGGTTCATTATATAATCCTTGGCTACATGTTTGATTTATAAGGAACAAGGCGCGTTTCATGAATTCTCCATTGTATTTGAAGCTTGCGTCGCTGGAGAAAAGCTGTATGCAAATGCGTATGTACAATAATTAGGTAAAGTAAACGTTAGAGGATAAAACTTCATTGTGGCTTTCTGGGTGTTGTTTAACATTTGCAAATATAAAACAAAAACTGGGCCAGAGAAATCCTTATTTTAGCCTGGTAGAAATTAAGTTACTTTGACAGGTCTGTAGGATTCTATAATTCTCAACTTGAATGCGACAGAAGATATTGTTCAAATATGGCAGGTGTGAGGTTATATGAAGAAAAGTAGTAAGTAATGTTTATCTATATGGCGCATTTTTACAGACCCAGGTCACCCAAAGCGCTTTATTCATTACATTCATTCCTATTGTGCATGTTTTTGTGGTAGGGGAAACCGGAGCACCCGGAGGAAACCTATGCAGACACTGGGGAGAACATGTAAACTCCACTCAGAAAGGCCCTGTTCCGACCGGGATTCGAACCCAGGACCTTCTTGATGAGAAGCGAGAGTGCTGTACATGTCACAGATTGTTGCACTTTCACTTTGATATAAAAATAGCAGAAGCAAATCGCAGGAGCTGGTTCTTGGTCAAGATCTGAAGCGGGCATAATCTCTGCACCCTCTTAGCCTACTTATGCCAGAGCAAAAAAAAAAAAAGTCTTCAGTTCAATAATGCAACACTATACTACACACTGACAGAGCTAATAGCGTTGAGTTTGTGGGAGAAGGTTTTCATGTTAAATAATCATGCATTCCGTCTCCATCCTCCCACACAAGGCCGGCATTAGTGCTGCTGATGGGCTACTCGCTGATGTCCTACTCTTTGAGACTTTTATGCTACGCTTTTAAAGTTAGTTCTGTTCCCTATTTAGTAAAAAGCAGTTTCATGCTTTTCACTTTCACCACTTTAGCCTTTTTTGAGGTTGAGAACTTAAGATGTGCATATTCTGGAGGCTTTTTAATAATAAACACATACATAGAAAAGGCTTCTGAAGGTTTGTTGTTTTTTTTTTGGCATGATAGAAACCCGCCAATTTTGGACAAGTTTGCAATGTTATCAGGTATTTCTAAGTGTGGATGGAAGATGGCAGGGACAAGGATGGGAAGTTTCAAAAAGACTAATGCAGCAACATGCAGAGAACATCTACTTCATGTGTTGTTGTGCCATTTCCCCTGATAATAAACATATTGAATTTCCCATCTAACAGAGATGGGTATAGATAGATTAATACTTCATTTCTCCTTTGAGGGGATATTTAAAAATGTTTTTAAATAAAAATGTATCTATGGTTATGTATATGTCATATCGATGTGGTGATATTGCTATATTGAACCCAGCATTTATTGTAGGTTAAAAATATAAAACTATCAATTGAAATGTGTTTTTAACAAAAAAAATCATTAGACTCTCTCATGCATGGACTCTTGCTCACTACTGGAGAGTCAATGGCCTCTTGAGAGAGCTTATTTCTTATAAGTCATATACAAATGGCAATCCGTGTCATAGTTGTTTGGTGTTGAGATTTATCATAACGTGACCTATGTATCGTGATACATATCATATCGCCAGATATATAACTAGTTTTTCAAAATCTTATTGATTGATTGAATTGATTCAATTTAATTACACTCTTGACATTGTGCACCACATCCATCCAACTCCTCAAATCTTTCTGTCCCATGAACACCCATTACTAGTCTTTTTTGTAGTCAAGCCGACAAGGGGTCTAATGGCAATCCCCCAGGACAGAGGTGCAGCAGAAAGAGACAGCCCAATAGCGCCCCCATCTGGTCTGAAGACATTAAGACAATGATACGAGGTGTGCATTCATATAAGTTAAGTTTTCCGTTCTACTGTATACTGACTGTGTGGAAAACAACGTATGTTAGAGTTCTCAATGTAAACAAAAAGATAAGTCAAGCAGCAAACATGAATGGAGAAAAACAACAGCCCAGTATGTCTTTTTATTTGCCAGACAAAAAGTTAGTCTGACCTAATTCACTGAGAATCATACATACATATGGGTTATTTTGAAACTGTTTGTAACATCTGCTTTTTCTGTGACTTTTTTGCCAAACAACATTAAACCGGGCTCAGAGGAGTCTACACAAACACAATTTGATCTCACATTGCTTTGGCTCTTTCAAAGCTGAGGGATGCTGCAATAATTGTTTCTTTTGAAAATAGGAACAGGGCACCAACAGAGACACACAGAGGCTGGCTGACAGCGCGTGGGGACTGTGAATGAAAGGCTTGTTGTATCTGTAAAGACAGGGAGAGCCGACAGGATAAGTGGGGCAGGGGGA